CGAAAACCAACAGGTACCCCGAGTCAAGAAATTCGTCCGTCCTTATCTTAACCGAAAAGCCTCCTATTATGTAGGCCTATGTATCTCTCTTATCAATGTGTATCTTTATAGATTAAACATATTAGAGGAACCCGAGACGGTTAACAAAAGTTATTTAATTGACACCCAATTTATATTTTACATTCTATAAATATTTGCAGCTGTTTGAAGCAACTTTTGTAAAATTACCGGTAGTTTACCGGTAAATTACCAATTTACCGGTAATTTTGGTAATTTACCGCACCAAACCAAAATTACCGGTAAATTTCAAACCCTACATCAGATACTGAATGTCTTGATGATGAAGGAGAGGAGCATAACCCGTAAGTAATGCATTTACATAAGTAAAAATTACAGTAAAAAATTAGTGGGGATAAGAGCGAACACACCTATTTTGGACCAGACTTAATATTTTTTATCAGTACCTCTCTATGGAAGCTTTTTAAAATACATTGTAGAAACCGTAGAAGCGATTCTTTTTCCGTTTAATCCTGGCTAATTCACAGTAATGAGCACAAATGTTTGCGCTTGAAATGGAAACAAAAATGTCCCTGCTCTAAGAATAAGAAAATAAGAGATGAATTTTAGTCCTCATAGCAAGCTGCACACAATCCGAGCAAGGTGCTGGTCTAAAATAGGACCAGTCGCTCTATAATGAACACTCCTCGGAATGAGCTCAAATTATAACAAATCTGCAGGGCTAAAACTTATCATAACGCGAACGAATGTTAGTTACTCAACGTAACAATGCACATGTATAAGTAAAAGTAATAGTAATGGATTTCCAAATAGGACCGATATTAATCGTCCATACATAGAGAAAAGTTGGCCAAGTACAATAATTAACTTATTTTAAAAAGGCGACATTAAAAGTTACAATGTATAACTTTAGCTCTTAACGGCTCTTAAGGCGGTAGGAGCGTAAAATTTTTATTTCAGAAATCTGAAGTGTATGTTACCATAATACACCACCTCGAACCATTTTGCTCTCCGGCGCTTAGTTTTCGCTTCGCGACGCCTCAAAGTTCGAAATTTTGACAACTCCGTGACACATTTTCGTCGAAACGGCAAATCGCACAGTTTTCAAACTTTGCAGTAGGGTAGTCACATACTAGACCTAGAGCATTGTCTATTTTTCAAGGTATGAAATGAAATAGTTTTCGTCCTGGAATGCCTTGAAAATTAGTGGTTTACAGGCCCTTATAGCAGCCAAACGGCTGAACGTATAGAGATGAAAAGTAGACCATGCACTAGATTGAACTTTGGTCTTTCTAACGAACTCGTAAAAAAAAATCTCAGGTTTGAGGTTTTCTCGAAAATATGTCACGCGTAAACCTCTGTTTCGAACCACCTGAGACCTTTAGAGAAAGAGAGAGCCTGCAGCCGTCTTCGTCGCGCAGAGGGGGGAGCGGGAGGGGTGTGGGGGGCACCCCGGAAAAAAGAGGCGGGTGGGATGGGGCGGGGTCTGCTCGGCCGCCTCCCCCGGCTGCTGGCCTCCCTCACAGCAGGGGGATGGCTGTGACCACTTACCGCACTTCTCACACGGATTTAACTATTTGAAATAGAGGTTGTACAATACTGGCATTGGCACCATTGGATCGGCAAGGAAAATGTCAACTCGAATACCAAATATCATAGCTGTAAGGCAATTTTTAGGCAAATGACATGAACTAAAACTTGTAACCTTTTCGGTCAAAATTGTTGTAGAGACTTCGTTTTTTAGACAGTTCCTTGTGGTCTGTCTCTCCCCGAAGGTAAAAGTTTCCAGTTTTGATAAAGATAGCCGATTAACGTTCCAGTTATGATAAGTCGATTGCCGATGATAATATAGATTCTTTCGCTATGAACAAGCAGTCACAAATCCTTTCTAAAGCTAAAAAAAACTGGCCTGCTGGCCAGTAACGAGGCAGTCCAGCTCCAAAAGCAAATTCAAAATATACAGGCGCTAAGGGTTTGTATTTTTAGCTGAATGAGGTAAGACTGAAAATCTGCTTATCAAAACTTTTGACGATAACGTTAATCGGCAATATCAGCAACGGCAACAGCAACCTTTATCAAAACGCTATACTTTCACCCTCGGGTACAGACAGGGAATGTCTAATAGATAAATTCGCCAAACAAAAGACAAAAAATGTAGCTGGAACCAGCATTCAAATTTTGCTTACTTAGTAATTTTACCGCGCTGAAAACAGGCGCTTTCTCCTGTTTCAAAAAGCTGTGGTTAGAATCAACACGCAGGCCCGCCCTTCCGCTGAACGGAGTTGCCGGCGGAGAGAAGCGAAGCTGGCAACTCCGTTTGGCGGAAGGGCGGGCCTGCTTGTTATGATACAAAACTACCCTGAAAATCCCAGGACGCTCGCTCAATTCGTTTTCGAGTTATCGTAAGGACAGACAGACGTGCAGACAGACAGACAGACAAAAGAAGTTTTTTCCGCCCAGACGAAGTAATAGGCTTCGCTAATCCCTCAGCTAATTATGCTTTTTCTGTCAGCAGCTGGTTATTCCCCAGGATGTCTGTATGCAATGCTGCAACAAGTCCAAAACAAAGACGATTTTATTAGCAATTTACGACGCATGAAGGCATTGACCATAACGGTCGACTGTACAGTGAAGGCAGTAGTACGAATGCCACCATATCACCACCCTACAACCGTGAACTGCCGGCCCATCCAAAACTTTTGAGAAGGGCCAAGCCACAATGTGTGTGCCCTCGTGGCACCACAAGTGATAGAGATGCCCCAACCACGACTGTTTGAGTGTTCCTATACAGAAGGTAGATGTACGCCAAACCACGTCTCGCGTAACAGGCTTCGCGATATCTCACGAAACACTGTTACGCTGCGAAGCGCCTGGCATACATCTACCTTGGCCTGCGGCGCTGACACCCGAGTCGGGAAGTGGAAAGTGTACACAAGGATACGGGCCTACGGCCCGTCAACGGCCCGTCACTTCCACTAAGCATGCAGAGTTGTACATTTTTAGCCCGCTCTTTTGCTTAAAAGCTATAGAAGCGGGCTAATGTCATCGCCCTTGTGTCTGTCTATCCGTCTGTCCGTTCCCCAAGAAGGACGTGAGCTAGAGGTCTAACATTTTCAGGGTATTATTGTTGTCACTTCTGGACAACGAAACGGTTGGTGCAAATCCTGGGCGACCACCCCTAAGTGGGTCTTAGGGGGTAACAAAGAAATAGTGGTTGGTCCAAGAAGTGGGAAAATTATATTTTGTTTATTGTCTCCTAAGGGGTAACTTGTGGAAATAGATCCCTTTGGACTAAAATTTCGTCCGTTTGGCTCTTCCTTTTACCGTTTAGGCGCTAGAGGAAGTTCCTCTCACAAAAGTGGCCTAAAAGTAAATACGGTAGTTTAGGAAATATTTGATGGTTTTCTAAGGGGTAACCTTTGAAAGTAGAATCCTTTGGGCGAAACTTTTGTCCTTTTCGCTCTATCTATCACCGTTTAGGCACTAGACGAAGAGTCTCTCACAAAAGTGGCCCAAAAGTAAAGACAGTAAGTTTAGAAAATATTTGATGGTCTCCTAAGGGGTAACTTTTAAAAGTAGAGCCCATAGGGTGAAAATTAGGTCCGTTTGCCTCCATCTCTCACCGTTTGGGCGCTAGAGAGAGGTTTTCTCACAAAAGTGGCCCAAAAATGAATACAGTATTTTTAGAAAATATATGATAGTCTCCAAAGGGGGATTCCCGTACACTTTTCCTAATCGAGTTTTCCTAATGCCTGTCCTCCTAACCCTGAACTTCCTAAAATAACATTTTCCTATTTCATTTTTCCTAAATATAGAGTTGGAAGTTTTCCTAATTTTTTTCCTAATTGGACTAACCTCGCCGCCGCCGCGGCCCCTGCCCAACAATACCTCCCCGTCATTATTGTTTCCAACCTCACTCCACCCAGTCCACCCATCCGGCACCACCCCATTTCAAAATTCAAAATTCTAAGTTATGGCAGGGTAAACCGTGAAAAAAGAACCCTCTGAGCTAGAATGTCGTCCGTTTGGCTTTCACTGTTTACTTACAAAATGGAATTTTTCTTACCGAAATGTCCGAAACAGTACAAAATGGAATTTTTCTTACCGAAATGTCCGAAACAGAACCTTTTTTTTTTTTCAGGAGTACACTTTTGTCTGAGAAGTATGCCCAAGTATGCCGTAGGTTCAAAATTTTCTTCTAAGCAGAAGAATAGGCTTATTTTATGGTGGCACATCATTAATAAAATGTGTGCACTCCCATGAAAAAAAAAAAAAAAACACATTTACAGTATTTTGTTATTTTGTTATACTTCACAAGCTGCTTCCTTAATATCAGTAATTACACAAATCATTGCGGACGGACACGTTCTATCAATTTTAGAGTATGCCTGGAGGTATATTTAACTTCTTCTGGGTCTAGTCTTATATATATTTCCATAGGTGTGTTATTGGATCCATAAGTTAACATCAAAAACCTAGAAGGGACTTGGCATAACTTGCTGTACTCTACAAACTGCGGCACACACAGCCTAAGATGGTCAGCGTATGAAAGGAATGCTTCGTTTGTTGAGTTTTGATTACGAAGTAGACAGCAAAGGTACCTGGCAAAAAGATGGTTCAAAGCGAGCTGTCACTCAAACGGGCCGAAGGCCCGTCACAAACGCCACCGGCCGGCCAAGCTAGGCCCGCTCCCTGCCGAACCGAGTTGCCGGTGGAGTGAAGCGGAGCTGGCAACTTGGTTTGGCGGAAGAGCGCGCCTAGCTCGTTTCGCTTATTTTCGTCAAAACCTCCGTGTGGCGCTTTAATAGTTAAAGATAGAGCCAAACGGACGAAATTTTCGCCCACCGGGCTCTACTTTGATGAGTTACCCCTTAGGAAACTGTAAGAAAATATTTTAAAAAAACATTTGAGACCTGTTGTTTTTGATTTTTATAAATTCAATTTTTGAGCTAGAATGCTCGTCTTCAAACTTGATCTTACTTTTGATGACACAAAACGACCCTGAAAATCCCAGGTCGCTCTCAATTCGTGTTTGAGTTATCGTGTTGACAGACAGACACACACACAGACAGACAGACGCGAAACTTTTTGATCATCACTGGAGTAATAGGCTTCGCTAATCGCTCAGCCAATGACAAAAAACTTAAAAAAACATAATACTTACAGAGTTTGTGATGGTGCAAAAGCCAATTATGTTGGGGGTGGTAATCTTAACAGGAGGTTGGATACGCACTATCCTTGGCTTTGTGGCTGGAAAAATGATACATGATACACTCCAGTTTTGATCTCGTGCTCAGAGAGAAAATTAGTAAGATCTAACCGTTTGAACATACTTACCGAAAAGCCTCTGAGTTTTTGTCGTCTGATCCATTATTCATCGTTAGAATTTGTTAAGTGTACGAATAAGAGGGGCTGATTTAGGACCTGTAGACGAGCGAAGGGCGGACATCAGAGAATCAAGTTGGAACACGCTCGAAGAACCGCCCAGCGAGCGCGCGCGCTTTAGTACCTGGGTCTGGGTGTACTTACGTCTTATACCGGTCCCGGTAGCCTCGCCGAGGTGCCATCTCCGGGCCCCCAGGACAAGTGTACCGCAAATGGAATACAGGCAGCCGCGCCGCCACCGCTCGGCAGCCGCTTGAGCGGCGCGCGCGGCCCGACTCGGGCGGGGAACAATGCAGTGGTGGGGGGAGCACCAGTGGAGGAGAAGTGGCGGAGGAGAGGCGTGGCGCGGCGTGGCACCTAGCGCGTGCATTTCAAGCAAAGACGACGACGCGGCAGGGACGGATGTGTGTTGTGAGAGTGTGGGTGGGAGGGGAAAGGGGGGGGGGGGCGTTTATAGCTATGACGATGGTTAGCAGAACAGAACAGTAGGACTTGGAAATTAAATTACAACGTTCACTTTCCAAACAAAATCAAAGTTATGTTTTTTATTAGCTTTCTCCTTTAGTCATTTTTCGGATTTAAGAGAGTACTGACCCAGAGTTAGTGATTGGGGCGTGTCCTCCTGCAGGGTCTTGTGCATAACCTGGATAGACAATTAAATATATCAGAAATTTTATCTTGCCATAAATTAAATGAGTAAGCCTTTTTGTTTGAAAAACAGCTTACCAATAACAAATCCTGGAATGACGTTTCTGATTTTGTTAATTGACAGTTGTACTGCCCAGTGAGATTTACTGCCCTTTCAGCCACGTCATTAACAACGTGTAGTGACTCTACAATTTCCAGGCCATACTGGAATGCAGGATTTCCTGGCCATTCTGAGGGGGGAGAATCTAAAAAACTGGGGTCAATACCCAAAATTTCAAAGAAACCCTTAGAATGGGCATTAACAAAATCAGCTAATCGAACAGACTTGTCTCCATTGAATTTTGCTTTCTTCGAAGCAATTTTATCCTTTGGTACACCACACTAAGATTTGCGACCATATGCAACTTCTCAGTGTCTGATACATTTTTATCAAAAAACGCAAGAGGCACACACAGTGGAGATAAATACCACAAATAGTCCGAAAAATGTGCCAGTTCCTTTTTCGAAATGGTCTTTGAAATTGTGGAATATGCCATAATATTCTTTAAAATGTTGACATCTGTTTTTGGCGCAATAGCTGGGGTCGTCGCCGTAAACCACGGCTCGATGTAAGTAGTTACAATAAATGGTAGAAGCTCCCGAATACTCTTCAATATCTTTTTCTCTTCTGGGAATCCCCCTGCAACAAAGCGGAATAGATTACTTGATACACATTTAAGTATTTACGGACACATTTTAAGGCGACCGTACTTACCCCTGAGATAAAACATATAAATAGAGAAACGGTAAATAATCCTCCCCATAAATCGTGCTGATGATTGATGATAGGGCAATAGGGGGCCTGAAGTGCACTCCCTAGGGAGGTATTTCCCCAATAAAAATCAGCACGAGGTCTAGGAGGTACTCATCGTCGCTCCTAATTTGCTTTTCAGTTGAAAATAAATCATGATTAGCCTTTTAACGTACAAGAAGGTCAATGGGGTTCGAAAAGTCGTTTACCTCGAGTGTCTTCCGCACAAATGCTGAAATTTTAGCAATGGCTTGAGGCGTCAAAACCCTCTTTGTCAGAGGATCCATATCCAGTGTTGCAGGCCACAAAGCAACTATGTTGATTGTGCTCCATGCGGTTTGGAATTCTGAACACAGTTTGCCCAGTTCAGGGTTGGTCAACTTTTCGACGGTGTTATTGAATGAATGTTTGGGTATTATTTACGACATGCCAGATAGAGAAGTGGGCGTTCGCGGCCGTCCTCTATGAATTTTATGGCACCGAGTCTCCAGCCGGTGTTCGAAAGGGTGGTGTCACATGAAACACAACGCACCTTGTCTTCCAAATCATACTCATTTATCTGCAGCAATACTTCATTAGCAATGCTTTTCCCTGTCCCCTGCTGCAAGGTGTTGGACGCCAGTAGTTGGCTAAAGTCTTTCCCTGTAAGTAGAAATGTAACAAAACGATATTATTACGAGTCGCGAATACACAATGCAATGTGTGTGGTGTATTTGAAAATAACTGTGCAACACAGTTCATACCTGTTACCAAAACGGGTTGGCGCTGTATTAATTTTCCTTTCCCGGACAGAGGGAGCATTTTTTTCCGTCTTTGTGTACTGTGACGGCCTAGCAGGTACAAAACTCTGACGGATCTTTGCAGCCTCCGCAGCGCGCACTGCAACTCGCTTGTCCGCGATTGATGTTTTACTGACATGTAGAGACTTTACATCGATGTTTAAACTTTGGGCCAGAGTGCAGACAACGCGAAAAGCATCTCGCGAGCTGATTTGACCCCTGTCCAAATTTATCATGAGTGCAGTATGATTGCCATCAGAGAGTGAGGTAATTAAAAGAGAACCTGTACCGGCATTGCGGGCAGCCTCCTCAACTTTGGGGGTATAGTCAGTATCACTATCATCTCCGTCTGTGCAGGTGTCAGATTCTGTAAAACAAATTACTGTTAAAATCTGCTCTGTACTTGTAATAAATTAACGCACCTAAAACCGTTCTTTGACAAAGTTTACCTACTGGTGAGCACGAGCACATACTGCATTGCGAACGGAAACCTGTCAGATGAGGGGAAAGGAGAAACAATATGCAGCTCAAACCAGAACCAGAATGACCGATAACGCACCACCGTGGCTAGTGCTCTGTACTGCGTATTTCCCCTTTCCCTTCATGTTAGGTACGGATGACCGACAGACGGATGACAGCGTTCTCGGTGGAAAAGAAACGGAACAAACCCCAGCTTGGTTCTCTTCGTACAAGTGTCCGGTCATGACAACCAACTCCTGCTTGTGAGTATTGGATTCTCGATTCCAGCTATCGAATGTAGCCTACCAAACGGAACTGATCCCCACGACAAAGTCTTTTTTTTTCCGTGTGGCCTTGACGTCTTCGCAACAGCCCCAATGGCTACGTGTTTTAAGACCCTGTGGGTCTTGGTGAGTCCTCATCAGTGTGTGTCTGAAAAAGGCTTTTCTCCAGTGTGTGTCTGAAGTGTGTGAAACTCTTGTGCATGTCTATCGCTACGCCACGCAAACGCCAACGGCGTGTTTCTAGCTTTCCTGAAATCAAGACAGTGCGCCAGGGGAGGGGGCACGATTGGTGCTCGGCCTGGCTTGTTCATCGAAAATCTTCTCGAATCTTTCCACTCTTCACTTGTTTTAACTTGTCGGTAAATAGTCTAGAAGCGCCGCGCAAGGGTGTATGTCAGAATCTCAGAAACGGGCCGCCCGATGTGCGCAAGGGGAGGGGAGGGCAGCGGTTGGTGTTTGTCTTTCTTTCGACGAGAATCTTCTCGAATCTTTAAACCCTTTCGCATGTTTGAACTTGTCGCGGTTTGCGAGGGCACAAGGGAGGGAGTGGCAGCTTTGCTGTGCAATGCTGGCAACGCGGTGTGCCGCACTTTTCGGTGCACGGAAGGGGGGGGGGGGTGACAAACGCCATAACAGGAAACCAACATTTCTTTGCGAACGCGTTTTCAGAGCCAAGGATCATGGGTCGCCCCATCTCGGGCGTCGACTGAACTTGAGAGGGCCCCTGGCCCACTTGTACCACCGCTGCGACGCGGCGGCGGCGGCGCGCCGCCGCCTCCGGGTCGTGCAGACCGCCGTTGAGGACGCCGACGCCGATGATGTAGGCGCCCGAAGGCCGCCGCCCAGCCCCGCCCCGCCCCGCCCGTTTACATACACCGACTCCAGTGGCTCGGCCGCGCCCGCTCAGCCGCTGTAGGCCCCGCGGCCTCCGCCGGGCCTAAGTGCGGGTGGGCATGTTCATACATGCTTTTCCCTAGTTCGGCGCTCGCCGCTACGCGGCGCTGCTAGTCCCGCGGTGCCCGTATAAAACGAGGCGCTGGCGGCCGGAGCGGCATCACTTAAGTCACCAGCTTCGTCTCGTGCACTTGCTCTCCAGTCGCAATTCATCGGTCGGTACTCCGCGGTTCAAACAGTTTTTAAACGAACCAGTTTCTACCACACGGGCCGCGCGCGCGCGGCCAGAGCGTCAGGTCCCCGCGACCACCTGTTGCATCTCAATTCCACATTACCTCAGTACCACCAACAATAAGCACTGTGCGACGTCTTACGTTACGTCTTACGTTACGTCTTACACGTCTTACGTTACGTCTTTCGAGACTTCCCAGTCTTTTTCAAGACTTCCTTCAACATAGACGCTTCTGCCTTTTTCAAGGCACCTTCAACAAAGACTTAGTCTTTTTCAAGACTTCCTTCGACAAAGACATACCTCCCTTTTTCAAGGCAATGGACTCCTTAGTCAAGGAGATCCTCCGGGAGTGGTCGGAGGGGTGCTTTTACGAGCAGCCGCTCATGGTGGTGGCCTACAAGGAGATGCTCATGGCTCTCGGGGACGCCACCCCTGAGGAGCTGCAAGACCCCCTCCTCCACGACTTCCTGAAGGCTGGGTACGCTGCCTACCTGAGGGAGAGGGGAGGTGGTGACCGCCAGGCCGCTGCCACCTACAAGATGGCCATGGTGGGTGCAGGCGCAGTGCGTCCACCGCGCTCTGCTACTCCTCCAGCACGCCCTGCCACACCTGAGGCTCAGGCGCAGGCTGGCCCAGCCACACCACCACCCCGCCCTGCCACTCCTCCAGCCACACCACCCCACCCCGCCCCGTCACTGGCGGGTCCCTCTCGCCTTGCCACCCCACAGGGTTTAAGATACTTTGTCGATTCCCTCCTCGGGGGTATAAAAGCGGCGAGCAAATTTCTCGAGGGTATCATTTGTGTTAAGACTTAGCTACTGGTCAGATCACAAGGAGCTATGGCTTCAGCGAAACGCCAAGCTGAGGTAACAGTCGACGAGCCTGCTGGAAAGCGCCGTTGGCTGTTCCCCCTCGCCACCAAGCAGGGGAAGTTGGACAACCTAGTTGTTGACCTTGAGGAGGATCTGACTGACGAGCCAGACTTCAGCCAGCCTCCCTCTCAGCCTCAAATGCTGTATGGGAATATGGATCTGAACTCCCCGGTTCATTTTGACCTGAGTCATCTCTTGGACACAAAACAGGCAAAGGGCAAGGATGTCCCTCCCACTGAGACAAGATTTCCCGTAGAGGTTGCCTTTAAAGACTTCCAACTCATTATAAATGGGAGTAAAT